GTGTTAAAAATATCCTTTTATACAAATTCCCGTAATCATTTTGGGTTATGTGCCATTATTAATCTTATTTTAAAGATGAAGAAATAGAGTTATTAAGACTAAATAGTTTTAGTCTTGGCAGCTGATAAGTGATAAAGTTGGTATTTGTTCTCAGGTACTTTGACTTAATTTTGCTTTAACAAGTACACAGCAATGAATTTTTTTTATTTTCATGTCCTGATAACTATCATTCAGGAATATTTGACTTAATTCCAAATACATTTACATGGAATTTGTGAAGTTACTTGTTACTCAGATACAAAGTTGTAATTGGAAAGATTAAAACGAGAAGAGAATTACTTAGAATTAATTTTTCTCTTAGAGGAGGAAAACAGATTTAAAGAACTGCCAGAGTTTTGCACAAAAGAGGTAATGTACATTAAGCGAATCGAGGTCACAGATGTTGAAAGTAAGCCTAGAGAGAAAGTTATACAGTCATTTAATACTGTACTTTTAAAGTGATATCAGTATTAACAAATTATTCTCTGGAAATTGTGCTGGAGAAAAGGCATGCTTTTAAATTTCAGTCATTAAATATTGGACATCTACTGGAGAGAGTAAAGTACATGGTATGAGAAAATGAGGCAGAAGCTGAGTTGGTTCAAAGGGACAGTGACTGAAAACCAGTAAATAAAACTAGAAACCAATAGAGAAACTTGAAAAAATATTTGGTGCATATATAATACTTATAATGGCTGATATTTTGAGGCATATAATCTGCTTTTGTAAAATTTAATCCCTTCAACTGGGATTCAGAGAGAAATTTTCAAAGCATACTCTTTTAACATTTTTATGGATATAGAAAGAAAATAAGCAACCCTCAAAAATTACAAATAACTTCCATAGGAATGGAAATTACAAAGTAGTACAAAATTGAACTATATTTTTTAAAATATCAATTTAATAAGGATTAAAATATTGACTCTACTAAGTATTGATAAGACAAAGATAACAGGAATACTGCCATTTTCTTTCAGATTTAGTTTAAATATTTTCATCCTTTGTAGAGGCCACTTTGACAATATGTATTGGGAATATTAACTTCTGTCTGATAAATTTTATTTCCAGTTACTCATTCTAAGAAAAATATAATCAGAAATCTGTGCAAAATTATATGCAGGCATACATTGCAGTTCTATTTTCAAAAGCAAAATATTGGAAATTAGTTTAGTTAATTAATTGTATATACCCTTCTGATATGCCGTTAGCTTAGGCTGTAAAAGATGTTTAAAGAAATTAGCATTGGTCATGGTGAATCCCTAAGTAGGAAAAAATTTTAAAATGTGTGCACTAGGATTCTCTGTGTGTATTTAAATATTGTAGGGCCATGTACTAAAATATATGTGTGGCTTTCTTAATGTGTTAAAACTACAAGTGAGCCTGGATAGCTTCAGCTTTTTCCTCACATCTACACTTTTCCATTGAAAATGTATGTAGCTCTTGTTAAGCAATCTCTGCAGATACATGGAAAGCAACATTTATCTTTTTGTCAGTGCAGTTCTTTTTATTCATACATAATTTATAGCATAATATTTTGTTTAATGATGAGAATTACTTAGAACAAAAAAACTTAAAATTTAATTTCAAAGTAAACACCAAATAGTGTTGGTTGCTAAGGAAAGACTCTGTTCTCTATTTTGTCTAAAAATAGGTTGGAGAAATCATCTGTTTTAGAAAAGTTAGATATTAACCTTCACCGAAGCAGAATTATTTGACTTAAGGTACCCTTGTTATCTCTTATAATGCTGTAATTTTAAATCTTCAAGGAAAAAATATTTTCTTTTTGTATTTTGGTGTACAATTGTGAAAAAGATTTACTGGTGCAGTCTCTGAACTCTATTTGGAGTCTCTAAGTGCTTCTCTTATACAAAGTATGAGAGACACTGGTATTCCCGAGGTTTGGTAGTTATGACCACAACTACTACATTGTTTTTATTTTTTTGTTCTCTAGATTTATTAAAGAAAACTTTTATAATGCAAACTATATCTCAAAGAATGGATGTTTTAAAACTATTTCTCTAAAATTGAGGAAAATAACTTTTTGTTGGGCTGGAAACACTGAAGTATCTCTTTTGGTACTTTAATATATGTTTTTCAGTCTTCTATTTATAAATAAAAACTGTTATATTTATAAGTTTGTTAATGTAATTTAGTGATAGGCTCTTATTAAAGGGAAAATTATAAAAATAGAAGTGGTGGTTCTATCACAGATGTTGATTTTTTACTAATTAATATCTAGAAATTATAGTTTTAAAAAAGATGATGTTCCTAATAAATTTTCATTACATATTTTTCTGGTGAAGTCAACATGTTTATTGAGAAGACAAATTTCCACTAAGTACAGCAAGTCTGTGGCAAAGTTATAGAATAAAACAAATATGATTTAAGACTTTTCATTTTTGCTTTGGGTACAATTTGATTCAAAGTCTTATCGTTGGCATGCTCTTTTATGAGCACTCCAGGCTCCCAGGCTTCCAGGTTCTTTAAAACTTTCTTGTTCTCCAAGAAAACAGTGGATCGTAGCACACACTAATCTTTAAAATGCATAAAAAGTTCCATCTAAGGAACATAATTTATTAATCCAGTAAAATAATTTAAGTTATTTATGAAATGTAACTGATTGCTGAAAAATTTGGGTACTATTGGCATTTTTTCTGGGTATTCTTGAATTGCTGTGTGAATTTGTTCATCCCATTTACTCTGTCCCAAAGTCCATCCATAAATCAAATGTGATTGCAAAATAAAGTGAATGTTTCAATTAGAAAAATATTATAATAAAAGACACATTGACATTTATCACCTTCAAATGCTTTATTTAGCTTCAGACACACTTGCTGCGTCATTCTGGCCACTTTCTGAAGCAGTTCTGGCAGGCAGTCCTCTTTCATTAGTGTGTTTCGTTGCACTGCCTTGATGTCTTGAATCAATTCAAAATGTTTGTTATGCATCGTTATTTTGACTACGAGGAAGATTCAGAGGTCTCACCGTGTGAGAATTGATAAATAAGGTAAATAAGGATATTCCACAAACATTTTATGAGCCTTCGTTTTTGTTGGATGTTGCTTAATAGCAGCATTCGGTGTAGTATTTTTGATAATATCTTGTAAGTGATAAATGTGTTCAAAGTGAGGAGGGAAGAGGAGGAGTAATGGCAATATGTCTTTTACTGTATTAAATTTTTTTTTGAAACATACGCTATATTTTTGATCATTCCTTGTAGGATCTTTTTTACTCAGTGTCTTTTATACTACAGCAGATGCTATTTGTATTCCAAAAGGTCTGAGATTGCGGACTTTAATTTTATTATTGAACTAGAATTTGAGAGGTGAGGACCAAATTATGTCTATTGTATAGGTATTAATTGGATTTCAATATGAATAAGACATTGTATACACATATGTATGTATCTATATTAAATTATGCCTTAGTTACTATAATCAAATATGACGCAGTAAGATATGAGTACACACTTTGATGTACATTGAGAGAAAAGAACCACATCCATAAAGATTTAACCCAGTTGTTTATCCCTTTAAAAAGAGAAAATTTTGAATATATTTTTAGTATTAGAGATTATAGTTTCATAGTCATAAAATTACTATTGTCATCACTAAGAAAAAACAAATAGTATTGAACATTTGTGCACTCAATTCTGTAATTTTGGAGAATCATGAAATATGAGTCCTGCCTTCAGGAAGTTGATAATCTCATTGAGACTCAGTTCTTCCAGTTTCTTTTGTTCTGCAAACATTTGTTAAATGTTGATGTATGTGAATGAAAAATTCTTCCTCTTGACGGGTTTTCAGACTGGAGAAGTGATAAAATATAAACATGAACATTATGAAACAAGTTTCTAAGTGGTTAACTAGCATAATAGAAGTCTGAATGAAATGTTATGCATTCAGATGCCACATACATGAAAAGAAAATTGTTAATAAAATGGTATAGGATCAATATCAGCAAGTTATCGTAATAGCACAGAGCTTTAGAGCATTAGTTACCTAGCTTGAGAGTAAGTCAAGAAGTAAGCCATAAGATTTAAATTCATCCTAAGAAAAGAAGAGACAAAAAAAGAAAAGGAAAATAAAAAACAGTATCAAACACTCCAAGAGACAGAGACATGTAAAGATGTGATTTCACATACTAGAATGTTACACAATCAGTTACCTTTTCATAAATTAGCATTCTGAGAGTTTAAAAAATTGTGTAGGTATAGTATATAAACATTTAAAATTATATGGCTATTCAAAATATACAGTACTAATTAACTTGTAATACATTTTCCTATGGTCTAAAATTTTCAATGTTGAATATACATGATTCACTTCATTATGAGAAGCTTATTTCTTGTCTACATTTGTATAGAATTTCACTAGAGTGAGTTGAGTATTTGAATGTAGATTGTCTTACAAGAATCAAACTTTAAGTCAATACTTATACAAATATGTAATTTTACTTTAAGATACTATATGACTCCAAAGCCTAAAAACGGTTATTAAAACCATTTTGAAAATTAACATTTTTGATTAAAAACTGTTCAGGCTGGAAGAAGAAAAGTCAGCAGCAAGGATAACGTGGGAAATCTCTGGGGCAAATAATTAAAGCACCCATCGAGTCCAATGTAGGACTAAGTACTCTGCCTGACACCTGTAATGACTATTCAGGTAGAGATGAAATGTCTCGTCCTTTTACATCAGTTATTAACTAGCTAGCAAGCTAACTTACTAACTTCTGTAACTCATGAAAGAGCATTCTAATTACCATATGAATTTCCATATTTGTATACTAGGGAGAGTCAGTAGCTCCAGCAGCTATATAATATAAATTAACAAATCTTAGTGAGCAAACAAGATTGTATTCTTTTTATTTTTAATAACAACATAGAAAGCTATGTGTTTTCAGATTGTTTAAATTGAAACATAGTGGTTCATGGATGACTGTCATAACCCCTTTTATTCCAGGGGGCAGATTCAAGAGCAATTCTTTCAGAACTGGAGAAGAAGGTAAGTTAGTATGGTATTATTTTTCTTGACATTCATTATGATTTTTACACCAAAATGCCTCTAAACTTCCTTGCAATTTTAAAACTTTTAAGGGAAAAAAGTAGTGTCTTGGTGGGTTGTGGTGATGTTACTTTGTGAGTCTTTGGTAAACACTGGAATATAAATTGGCCAGACATTCCAGAACTACTGTTAATTTTAAGGAGTTAAACATCTCAGAAATTAACTTAAAGAAATCTCATCTCCAGAGTTCCCCAAACAGCAATTTCCGGAAAATGACAAAAATTAAAATGACAGTTCAAAGTATGAGCCTTAAATTTTAGTTGTGTGCTAATTGTGCTTTAGTTTCTATAATCTGTAGATCCTTTATTATATTGGTTATAAGAACTCATTCAATAAAGATTTGCTTCATTTTTTTGTGCTTTACCTATTTTTTTGGAGTTTAATGGACAAATTATATGTAGTCAAGTCTATAAGGTGATGACTTGATATACAATGTAAAACATTTACCACGATCAAGTTAACACATCCATTGCGTCACATAATTATCTCTTTTGCTCTTTCTTGGCAAATTTCAAGTATACAGCATAGTATATTAACTGTTTTCACTACACTAAACATTAGATTGTCAGTACTTATTCATCTGATAACTGAAAATATTTAAACTTTGTCCAATATTGTCTATTTCTTCTACCTTTCAGCTCCACTCAACCCTTATTTTGGCCTCTGTTTTTATTAGTATGATTTTCTTTTATATTCCTCCTGTAAGTGACATCGTTCAGTATTTTGCTCTTTCTAGCTTATCCTATTTAACATGGTGTCCTCAAGTTTCATACATGTTATTGCAGATGGCAGGATTTCTTTCTTTGTATGGTTAAACAATGTACCATTGACTATGCCTCATTTTCTTTATTTATATATCCACGGACACTTCAGTTGCTTTTATATCTTGGCTGTTGTGAAGAATGCTGCAAGGAACACTGGAGTAGAGATATCAACACTGTATTTCTTAGGGTGCAAGTTCAAGAAAATTTCAGCACATTCAAAAAGGTGATGTCAATTTTTGAAATATCTGAGGAAACAGCTGAGCATTCCAGCTGACAATTCCTTTCCATTTATTTCTGACTTTATGTAACTACATTTTCCAGGAATTTTATTAAAAGCGCACTTGGTTTATACTATTTATTATATCTTACCTGTTATAATGGATGTTTAGTATAAATAAAATTGTGTCACCACAGGAGCAGATTATTTGAATATAGAAATTTATCATGGAGATTTCCACAAAGAATAAGACCCTTAACTCCCATGAAACTTCTGGGACTCCTGTGTTTGTGCTGCTATTTGTGCACAACTTCCCTCCACCCCCAACTTACTCAAGTTGTTTAACATCAGAGATTGTAGTGTTGAGACAGGAATACCATAAAATTGTTGAATGAAATTCAGAAATTAAAACATTTAAAAATTGAGTAGAGTCCTCCTGTTTCTGTGCATATTTTACTAAAGAAAGAAATTTGTATTGAAGTAACTGAAAAAATTCTTGGGAAAACCGCATGGGAAATACTACAAAGAATCAACAAATGAGATCTCATCTTATTAGAAAGCTTTTTCACAACAAAAAGAATTATCAAGAGAGAAAAAAGACAACCCACAAAAAGGAAAAAATTATAGGTAGTTGTCCCCTAGACAAAAATCTTCTATCTCAAATATACAAAGAATTGAAAAAAATCAGGACTTCAAATTCAAAGATCTAATCCAAAAGTGGGTGTCTGAGATGAATGTGCACTTCTCAGATGAAGAAATACAAATGGCAAATAAATACATGAAAAGATGTTGAATCTCATTGGTCATTTGAGAGATGCAAATTAAAACAGTAGTGATTCCGTCTCACTGCAGAAAGAAAGACTGTCATCAAGAAATCAACCAATGACAAATGCTGTTGGGACTGTTGGGGATTTCTCCACTGTTGGTGGGAGTGTAGACTGGTGCAACCGCTGTGGAAGTCAGTATGGAGATTCCTCAAAAAGCTAGGATTAGAGGTCCATTCAACCCAGCCGTATCTCCATATAAGAACTGAGAACATCATACCACAGCAATATATGTGCTCCCATGTTTATAGCAGCACAATTTGTAATAGCTAAATTGTGGAAACATCCTAAATTCACATCAACTGAGGAATGGACAAGAAAAGATGGGGTACTTTTATGTGATGGAATACTACTTAGCCATAAAGGATAAACGTAAGTCTTTTATAGGTAAATAGATGCGATGTGAGGCCATACTCATAAGTGAAAAAAACCAGACTCGCAGATGTAAACATCATATTGCCTCTTTGTGTAAGAAGCAGAAAGAGTAAATAAGATCCAAAATGTACAATAAATATTGTGAAATGGGAAGAAACTGTTCAAAAGCAAAGAGAAACTCAGATGAGGGAAAGGAGCAAGGAAGGAAGAAAAAAAGACAAAAATATATCTATTAAAATTAAGATCTAATACTAATTTCAATTAATTCATTGAAAAGAAAAGTTTGTGCTTAATTGTTTGATCAGTTTTCATGTCAATGTTGTGTCATACGAGCAGTTACTTTGAAGAAAACAATATACAATGCATTAACCATCTTTACTCTCCTACTATATTGTTTTGAAATGTTGTATCACAATTTTTATTGTTTTCTCTATTTAAAATAAAAAGAAATTCATGTTAAGTTATTTAGTGTTTCACTGTTTTTCCATGAGGTTCTCAGAGCTTAAAACTGCTTTCACTGTGTCCCACAGATTCCGATACGTTACATTTCCCTTTCCATTCTCATTTGATTCTAAGAATTTTTAAAACTTCTTTCTTGATATCAATGTCCCACTAGTTATTCAAAAGTGTGTTATTAATCTACAGGTGTTCCTGTAGTTTCTGTAATTTCTTTTGCTGATGCTTTCTAGTTTGTAAGAATACATCTTGAGTCATAATGTTTAAAATTGTTGTAGCACTATTTGTAATTATATTTAGGAAGCACTATTTAAATTCAAGAGCTTCTTAACAGGATAGTTTCTGTATTCTACCATCATAATCATTAAAGAACAAGAATGCAATAGGATGAGTATTTGGTGATAGAAATTAATGGCTACCTGACACTTATTTTCCTTGTTTGCATCATCGTTCAGTCTTCTCTTCCTTTTGACATTTTAAACAACCATTGTAACATAGAAAGGCATATTTTTGTGACCTGAAAAGATATTTCACTCTTTTACTAATTCAATATCTATTTTACTTTACACATTATTCAGAAAACTGTATAAAGGAATAGTAAGGGAATATGAAAATGGGTCAAATACAAATTTTGTCTTAAGGATATTAATAATGGAAAATGAGAGATAAGATTAAAATAGAATAAAATACAGGTGTTTCAGAGAGGTTAGTGTTGTAGTCAGGGGTTGTGTAGAGACCAATTAAAAACAGGACATGGAGTTTATTATACTGTTTTATTATAGTCACCCAGAGTAACACAAGAAACTGCAGGAAATCTATCCACAACACCAAAGACATAGAATATTTAGTCAAGGGCCTGAATCCCACAGCAATGTCCCACATGAGTCCAGGTGAAAACCCAGAGCTCATGACAATGCCTCCCACGAGTCTAGCTGGAGGTCCAGAGCCTACAACAAGGACTCATACCAGTCTCTTTTATGGATCTGTGCAGGGAAGGCCCAAAAGTCATTGGTGGAAGTGAGAAAGTCTATGCCAGCGGGTGAAGGAGCTGTGCTGATAGGGAAGGCTCTGTGCTGGAGCCAAGGAGCCCCGAGCTCCTCCGACGATAAGCACAGTAGAGTACATGCCAGGAAGCCAGCCTGATGAGTTCATCCTAGAGACCAAGCAGCACACGTCTTTCTCTCCGGAGCCAGGAAGCAATGCTTGATGTGAGAATCAAAGCTTCTCCAGGAGAACCTAACACCTCAAACAGTAACTCATAGGAGATCCCACAATGCCTCAACGCCTGAACGCAATAACTTCTTTTCCAAGTCTCTATTTATGCTGACAACTTTCCTCAGGTGAAACATCTATGCTCAGCACTATGCTAATGTAATCCAGCTGGCATTAAGTTGACCACCAGTTCTTAATCCAGAACAGTCAGCAAGTTGACGTGTGGATGAAAGAGCTGTGAGAGAGAGAATTAAGACTTATAGCCTGTAATCATGGACAGTTTCATGGGAGATACATCTTGTTAAAGTTTTTTTTTTTAATTTTATTTAAGGAGAAAAAGAAAAAAAAAGCAGAAAAAGGGTACAAGTTATACAGAATTTCAGAAAAAAATAAACAGTAGGAAATCACTAGTTAATAGATTACATATTGTCATCTTAGAAATATTTGTTCAAGTTACAAAATTAAAGCATATAAAGTGAACATTCAAACAGTGAGACTGCAAACAGTTCTGTTCAATGATCCAGTGAAACTCAGTAATATCGTTATCTTATACACTTAAACATGCAGTTATATCGTTTAGAGCACTTTCTTTTCCTCTCTTTTGTACAATGACAATTACACATTTTGGGTTTTATTACTCCCACAGTTCTTATTCCCTTTTTTTTGAAGAGAGTAAAACCAAATGTGGCATAACAGAACAGAGTCAGTCAAATCAAAAGGATGGACATAATATATAATGTAAAAACATAATATAAGATGATCAATAATGGTTACCATAATGCCTCTTGCTATCTTAAAAAGAATTGCTTATATCAATCAGTTATAATAAAATTGAACAAACCAGTAAAGAACAAAACCAATAAAACCAAAACATTGGAGACATTACAGGTCTTCAAAAGAAGATAATAGTCAACCAGAATGGGTGTCATAATGAATCTTATTATCTTCACAGTTGTTGCCTATACTTTCGAACTTGGTACTATCAAGCAAAGCAGAATAGAGGAAAATCAGTCAAAACAAGATGGTGAGAGGATTATAGGGTTTCAATCAAGTTAATAGGAAATCAAAGTGGGTTACTATGATATATCCTGC